CACCCCCCTCCCCCCCCCCCCCCCTCCCCCCCCCCCCCCGGCACCGCTCTAGAAGCACCACCAGGTTGGCATGTTCCACCTAGACGTGGTCCCACTCCTTAGTCAGCAGATCCAGCTAGTTCAGGGGTCCCCGAAATCCCAAGTGTCTCAGCCCCATGGGCCAGGCAGGCCGGGTGCTGCAGCACATGGAGCCCTGGTCGGAGTCCTTGATCCACACTGCCAGGAGTAGGCGAAAGGCCTGGCCCCATCCTGCTGACAGTCTGTACCTGAGCATGTTATTTCACGATTCCAGCTGAGGGATTTGCACTTCAGATGGCTGAATTCAGGGCCTTGCCTCCTGACGGGGTTCAGAAAAGTCACCGGGTACCCAACTCCATCTGCTGACACTTGGCTTAACTGTCAGTGCCCTGCTGGGCTCCCAGCTTTGCCTGGGGGTTCCAGGACCCACCTGCGATGGAGGAGACCCGACCCTCCCCCGCTCTGCATAGCTGCTTGGCCCAATTTGGAGTCGGGCTTGCTCAGGCCTCGTCTTCCCTGGCCAGGCAGAGCAAAGTCAGTCAGCTCCTGGCCCTCAGTCAGCTCCTTGCCCTGCCATGTGCTCTGTGCAGTGTTAGTGTGAATAAACCCCCCGTCTCTCCTGTTGTTCTGCCTCCTCTTTCATGATTATAAAATCATGTGGTGTGGAGAGGGTGAATAAAGAAAAGTTATTTATTATTTCCTATAATATAAGAACTAGAGGACACCAAATGAAATTAATGGGTAGCAGGTTTAAAGCTAATCAAAGAAGTTTCTTCTTCACACAGCGCATACTCAACCTGTGGAACTCCTTGCCAGAGGAAATAAAATACAGGACTATGCAGCACTTTAAAGACTAACAGGATGGTTTATTAGGGGCGGGGCCGGGATGCTTCAGGCTTCCCCACCCACAGACCACTAAGAACGGTTGGAACTTAACTTCATTCACAAATTTAATTCTTATGCAAATGATATGAAGTGGGATACCAGCTGGCTCACACACTATCTTTGTCGTCCCCCCTCCCCCCTTCCCACTAAGCACCCATGCTCCTGGCGGAAGGAAGGGCAGGGACAAAGGGGTGAGACTTCAAAGCGCCACATGCTCCTGGCAAGGCAGAGGAAATCTCGTACGCTTCTCTTCACCCCCAACCCCTAATTAGGCGATGGAGCGGAAGGGCCTCCGTGGGTCACATCAACCTGCATAGTGGGCCGAATTCGGCCTCGGAGGCCCTTTTGCCTATCCCTGGTGCAGTGGCTAGTCGGGTCAGTGGCTATGCATTTCAAACACCCCATCCCTTCATACTGCACTCTCTGGATGGCAGGGCA